TATTCTACCTTCCAAACCTTCATCCACACTTTAGTCTGGTATATTAAACTATACGCAGTTTAACAGCCCCCATTTAATGCCAGCGATGTGAACTATTATCAATGCTGATAAGCGAAAGACATCGAGGAAAACGTGGTCCAGCATTCAATTAACTTCTTACGCAAATAGGAGCAATGTTTCATTTCATAAAGTAATTATGACTAATTACAAAAAATCGCGAAATTTAAAAATTTTACAGTCCAGTCGATTCAAGTAAACAGTAATTAAGTACGTAGTACTCCTAACAGCGGCTGAAAGCACGTACTGGCAATTAATTAAAATATTAAATAACAATAATCTCAATAATTTCTTGAGAGCGCAACGAGGAACGAATATTCCAAAGGTTAGGACTTTCGTCAGACCGAATACCGGCTGAATCCAGTTCCACTTTCTCGCCAAACAGGAGTCTGCAACGTCATTGCATGAGCAAAGAGTTTAAGTAGCAATGGGTAGGACACGTTGCAATAAGTACCAATCATCGCTGGACAGAGAAACAATATACTGAGTTTCAAAAGAAAGAAAGAGAGAGTAAGCGACCAAATAGAAGACGTCCAGATCGATAGCAGGACGAGCTGAGGAACTTGACTGGATCAATACTGATAAGAATATCAGAAAACAGAAGTTTATGGCAAAGTCCTGGAGAAGCGCTTATAGAGTTATGCATCGAAACACGCTAATAATGGGCCTGATTTTGCTTTGCACACACACCGTTCCTGTCTTTTCCCAGAAACCATAAAATCGAGCTTATCTGAGGGACTGAGTCATGCTCACAGCCTTAACATAATTAAACTCCCACAAAGTATATCAAATAGACCGTAAGCTGTCTTTTGCGTGCTGGGATGTCTATCTGTTTTGATCGAAGACAGGAAGGAAGCGCGATTTAGATGGAACTGATGATACGACTTATATTCGCCCAAGTTTAAATCTGAGTGCTGTTTTCTTATATATGCCACCAAACGAGGCTACTAGAAAACTGGGGATTCTCCGATTACTACTGCTTCCTCGCCGATCGCATTCAAGAACAATATCCTGTAGGACTTTAAATCGTAAAATTACTGTTAAAACCGCACAGACATGCCATTAATTACTTTTATTGCTGTCGGATATCCAGCAGGTGTATTTCAGGGTTCACATTTTTCAGAGCTTCAAACATGCACGAATGTCTACTGTTGGTTTTTGTTTTGCGTTAGCGAGATTTATGTTGTCTTTTTAAAAAGAAACTAAACTGTACTACTACCGCTCAGTCGAAACAGGCTAACTATGTGCAGAAATGGTTCCAGCATTTGCAAACTACATTTTATAAATCCGCTATTCAAGAAACTATCACAATAACAAAATATAATAGCCATCATATACCTCACAAGACGGAATTGAAATCAAAATTGGTATTCCGAGGTAGACACACCGACTCGATAAGTGTTTGCTCGTGAGAAAACAAAGCAAGAGAAAAATTTGCAAGCGAGAACAGCAGAAAACAAAAACACTATAGACAATCTTGCTTTTATATTTTAAACTGGATATAAAATAAGGTAGCACAGTCGGTTTCAAAAACTATGTGAACAATACGAAACCGCTGTCTCAATTTGAAACACTGTAGAGAAAGTTAAAATAGTTTGCAAGTAAGCCTTCATAACAGTCACATATGCGACTAACATCCATTTTAGCGAATAATTCCTTTCGTCATTAGAGTTTTCACGTTCATTTTTTTATTAACATTACAGAATTAATTAACTATTTTTTCTTATTGTCTTAATAGATATAAATACTCCAAATCATTCTTTATCTGATTTTTGGTTATTCTCTCTAATGCCTTTGCATATCACAATTGCTCTAAAAAACTTTGAGAACGCTGTTATTCTCACTTTGGTAAAATTTCTCCGGAGGCTTTCATTGAAAAACTGCGGAAACAACTCACACCAAACATTTTCTGCAACGAATCTGTCATTTTCGCCCAGTATTATATTTTCACACTTATGACCGCATTGGACAACATATATATCACATCACGTTCGGTAGTGGCATTGAAATCTTTATTTCCATAGCTTCGTTAAATTCATCACCAAATTCAAGACCAAATATCAAGAATGCCTCTGTGTTTACAAATTTCTATTAGAGTCTACGTCTTCATTAATTTAAAACTTTCTTAGCTTGTTTCAAAGGGCCTAACACCACCTTACAGTGCTTCTTAAATCGAATCTTATTTTAAAGACAGTCAACTCAAAAGGTGGCGATGGATATTTCACTACGCTTACCAAACAACTGTGTTGTCAAAAATAATGAATTTATTGGCATTAATTCGTCTTCATCAAGCTATTATAAAGATCGAGATCAGCGCTCATTTGTTTCAAAATTGAAACTAGCAATGCAGCTCATTTGGGGTGGTTTTTACTATGCGATTATTTGTACCGCTATGTACATGCAAATGCAAAATGTTAGCGATTATATTGAAGCTGATTTACGTTTCCATGGTTTCATAGATAAATTAATAGGTTCGGATAAACATTTTTTGATTCTAAGTTTAAATTTTTCCAGTACAACTAAACATCAGAATTATGCATTGTCCCATAACAAAATAAAAGAGCAAAGAAATCAACTTTAGCATATACTTATCGTATGAAAATCAACCAAAATAAACTAAAACGTTGCTTTCAAATTATAATTGGTTAAAAATTTGCGTCCACGTGTTGTACTCCATACTAATTATCAATCAGGTGGATCAAAGCGAATCGCAGTTGCAAGGCCCGCGCAGACAGACAGCAATGTTGTATATTTCATGAGCTTTGGCATTATCAGACAATAGAGAGATGCTATCATAATGATTAGCAATTCAACGATCTTTACTTCATTTCATTTTTCATGGCTACTCTCTTTTTGGGTCACTAAGGCAGACGTGTCAGGCAATGCTCTCAGTGTTTTCGATCCTGTGTCAACATCTGAGCTTCGGCAGAAGACAAGCGGTGTCTATTGCAGATTCCTTCCGTATATTGATAACAGGCTAATTTTCGCTGTCCCCAGGGTTTTCTACAGGTTGACTTGGCATATCGCAGCTGCTTGACTTTCTTTTCCGGAGCCATTCGCAACAAGTGCCCAAGCAATCGTTATCACTTCGTAGCCTGGAAAAACAGTGGCTGTACACCGAAGCACTCGCAGATTTCTGTATTCCGGATCATTTCGACACGTGGAAGGCTAGAAACTCGCCCCAACAAAGTCCATTTCAGCCGCCTCTATCGGGAGTAGAAGTTTTCAGTCATGGATTGTAATTCATGACCGTGGGTAAGCCTTTTTTGAGAAGAGCAACGTTCTAGAAGCACTATGTTTTTCGCT